TTGAAGTTCACAGGGTATTAATATGTTGGAATACTATGTAAATTTAAAGAAGTCATAAACCGCATTTATTGCCTTGGTAAAAAAAAAAATTCCATAAAACACTGAGACATAAAGATACTAAAGTTTCTAAGATCCAATAACACTTAATTGATCGTGACTTTATCTTACTTTGTGGTAAAAATAAAAATAAACAAGGCATTATTTTAGGAGCAAGTTCTTAGGCTTCCATGATTAAATAGGCACGTCTGCTATAAAATGTCTCTGCAGTACTGTGAAAGCGAAAGCCCAAACTGTTAGTGCTGTTACCAGCACTGGTGATGAATCAGGTTCCCTCCCCTCTCCCCAGTGATCCAGGAGGGACTTTTAATCCCTGCTGTTTCCCATCTCTCTAATCATAAGGAACAATCTGTCAAGGACAAAAAAACATTGTTTTCTCTCTGGTCTCTGTTTCTGCTTTCTTGCCACTCTGTGAAAAAGAGCACTTAGCTATACAGATGTGCCTGTAGTTGGCTCTTCATAAAGTCTTTGACTTTCTTGCAATCATATGAAGTCTCTGCTGTTTCAAACTCACTACCCACCCTCCTCTTTCTCTGGATGGAGGTTCTGTGGAACTAAAATGGTAGTCAATTTTTTCTATAGCAACTAGTTCTAACCATGGGATTAGAAAAATAAACATTTTTTAATGTAGAAGCTGTTTCCTGAAAGAACGTGGGATTATTTAACTCAAGCATTGTTTACTGTAAGTCCACTATGCATCTGGCACTATGCCAGTCACCATAAAATACCTCTTAACAGAACACTTAGAAGACTAGGATAGATTTTGGACTGAGACATTAAATAATTTTACCCTGGTTATTATCAATTTTATCCCTGGGAACCTTCTTTTTGGATTTCAGAATAGAAATGTGATTGGCTTTTCCTGTTCTCTTTGCAGAACACGTACAGTAAGTCTGGAAACCACAATAATAAGGTTGGAAAATGCTTGCCTTGTTTCCATACATTCTAAATTTTTAGATTATTATGCCATCATTCTTATTGTAGGAAAAGTGCTGAGTTTCAGATGAGAAAGAATATAATAATAAAGCATTGTGTGTACTCTTATACAAAATGTCACAGAATATCATACATATTTTACAGCTGCTCTTCCCAGCCTGTCCATTTAATTACTTTATGGCCATGCCATTCATGAGCAATATAGTCATTCTAAAATTCATAATAGTAAAAACTTTATTACATGTCACCTCATATTTTTATACAGATATATATTTTTATATTTATGGCTAGAGTTAATTTATACAGGGGCAGTGACTTGGAGAATTAATATTGTAATTCAAAACTTTCATAGTTTTAGAAATTAGAAAGCAATATTTGCTAGGATCTGGAATCTTCAGTATTAAGACAAAATGTCAGAGTCTGGTGGTGTAAGCTCTAGGACACTCGGAAATATGTTCACCTTGTACTTTCCAAATCCGCTAGCATCTTTTCTGTTTACATAATAACAACTCCCCACAATGCTTAGATAAAGCCAAAGCAAATAAAGTGGACTTGGGAAAAAAAACCTGTTAAGTGGCACCAGACTTCATTTAGTGGAAGCCTACAGCATTTTACTTATTTTAAAACCAGCATACTCCCATAACTAACAAAAATCTCAATTTGATGAAAAGCACAATTGTTTTAAAAGCTTTTTTGTTAATTTACTGGTAAAATATTGTTCATTTTTCTTTGTTATCTTTGTTTTGTTCCCATTTAAGTTTTTACTGCCAGGTTTCAATCATTTCCCCCTATTTCTCATCTTACCTTCACATCACTGCGAATGTTTAACATGAAAGATTTGACAGAGGTTATCCTTAATTGAACACTTGCATTTCTGAGCCTCAGCAAAAACCTTTCTGTGTATAAATAAGTGCATATCAATATAATGTGATACACATATTTCTCCTTACTGAGCGTCAGTTTCCTCAGTCTGTTAAGTAGTGGTATGACCTAGCTTAAAGGGTTGTTATGAAGATTAGAAATTTTGTTCTAAATATTATTTTTAAAAGTTTTAGAAGTTTTATATTCTAAATATTATAAAATTATATATACACTTGGCACAAAATAGGGACAAATAAAAAGTAATAATAACAAGTATTGTTCTTGTTCTTGTCACAGGGAAAGGGATTAACAAGATAGCCTTAACTGATATAGAAAGGTACAGGAAAGTATAGGAAGATACAATTGTTTAAAGGACATTTAGAAGTGGGAGCAAGGAAGGAAGAAAACAGAATTTTTCCTAGCTCATCTTTGGAAAGATATAACTTTTATAGACAACTGTATAGCCTCAAGGTGTTTGCTTCTGATCTATAACTTAACTTCATTTAAGCACTATTTTATAAAATTTATTAAAAATTTTTTTTACTAGGTATGGGTTTTTACTAGGTATCTGTTATTAATCAAAGTTAGTATATAATTTATATTAATACAGTTAACCAAAGTATCTCTATAGGCTGGAACACAGTAGGTAGTTTTCTTCCTTCTTATGACATATTCCAGACTCATGGTTCTACCATTTGTGGTCAGAAACATAAATTCCTCCTTTGCTTTCCTGTCCTCAAATACCTGTTTACTCTTTGCTTGCAGGTAAATGTGTACATCTGCTAGGGCATGATCTCCATGATGGGATGACAAATGGGATCTTATTGCATTATTTAAAGAGCAAATTCCAAAGATCAACTCTTTCTCCACACCTGTGTCTGCTTAGGGACATTAAAATGGAGCTAGTCTCACTGATTACAAGCAAATTTAGGGTAATATTATTGGATTACTTGCTGAAATCTTTTCAGACATATCTGGTTTCACCCTAGGTTATGGATATCTCATGTATATAAGAATTCAATGGTAGATCCTTTTTCCATGCTTCCACCTACCCACCTCACCCTCACCTCCAGCTTAGGCAGCAAACATGCTGTCCTGGTTAGATGGACACCTGATGGCTTACACTTGCCACCTCCTTTCCTCTACTACAAACCCAAATACCTCCTGCCACTAGTCCTCTTCCTCATCCAAGTTGTCCTGTAATCTCTTCTTAGGTCACCAAGTGCCTTCTCTTCTCTTCCTCTTTTATTCTATTTATGAACAAGACATGGGCCACTACCACAATAACAGAACAGAATAATTCCTTGAGCCTCATTTTCAATAAATTGAAAATGGCTTTAATAGTTGGTGATGGAAGGATAAGGAAAGCCACATGTTTTGTAGAGATATTAGAAGTAATAAACGATCTAACTTGTAAGAGTTCCCTGGAGCCCTCTTCAGAATCTCACAAATGACTCCATCTACCTCCTCATCTGGCTTTTTCTCAATAACCAGTGTCCAATATAAATAGAACAATTGTATTGTTCTCTATTTTATTTGAGCAAATGAATAGTATTTCTATTTTATTAATGGTAAATAAGCTTTTGTGGGCAAGACTGAGATAGCAGATTAGAACATTGTTTCTATAAGAATACACATTCCTAATTCAAAACAACCAGATTACCAACAGAGAGTTTATAGACTAAGAACTGCCTGGAGTGGGAACTGATTTATGCTCTGGTTTCTCACTCAGTACCAATTTTACTATGCTAGGTTGTCCTCTTTGAAGATGCAGGGACATGGTACAAAAGGAGAAAATCAGAATAGTCAGCCCATAAAAAAGTTAATTCACCTCTGTTTCGAGTAATGCATATTGAGAAATTGAATTGAATGATGCAGTGAATAAAATATTTATTTCTTATACGTAATATAGATGAATCAATGTCACTCCAAGAAATTTAACTTTTTAATTTGCTAGCTTGGTATTTGTATTTTACCAGCAAGTGCAAAAGAATAACCTGTCATTCTCTTGCAAGTGTCAAAGAGATGATATTGAGGGGAAAGCAGCTTCAGCTATTACTCCAGGAGGGCTGGAAAAAGCAGGCACTCTTCATTTTTCTTTGCTAGTCCCTGAATCCCCTGCCTTTATTTCTGTGGTGCCAAGAACCAAAATCATGGTGGGATTATGAACTTGCATAACAGTATATACAGCAATCCAGTTGTATGAAATTAATGCAAATCTTCTGCTATGTACCGTGTAGTTAACTATACAATTAACATTATGTAAATATCACAGGTACAGTAAATAAACATAAAATCATACATTCATATTAATAATACTAAAAGAACACAGATGGCTTTGGTAAAGAACACAAAACATTTTCTTTTTGGAAAAAAATTTTCTCTGTTCTAATAGTCATGGTAAAAATACTACCCTATATGCTAATGCACTTAACAGGTAAAAAAACAACATAATACTTTAAACTTCACCAGAAATAGCAACCCATTAGTTACAAATCATTTATTAAACTTAAGAAACTCTTTTATATAGGAAAATTCTCTTGAAGCAAAATGATATTTGTATGGCTTATTAAAATCATAAAATTATCTGCATGAGTTTCTTGCTTTCTTGAATACAATTTAAATAATTCTTTAAAAAGCTCAAATACAAAATAAGGTGTATTCTGCATGTTTCTCTCTCTCTTCCTCTCTCTCTCCTCTCACCCCTCTCTTCTCTCTCTCTCTCTCTCTCACACACACACACACAAACCATTTTTGTTATTCACTTCTAAACTTAACTCCAACTATAAAATACAGGGAAAAAATGCAATTTTATGTTCAGTAGTGCATATGCTCTAATGTTGAAGAGTGAGTTAAATTAAGGACAGAGAATTTCTTTGCTTTTGTTTACTTAAATGTGAAAATGTATAGCTATTTAAGTGGAGTGTGCAAAATTAGTAATTTTTCATATTCTAATAAAATGGCCAGTTTTTTGGGGTTTTTTTTTGCGGTACGCAGGCCTCTTACTGTTGTGGCCTCTCCCATTGCGGAGCACAGGCTCCGGACGCGCAGGCTCAGCGGCCATGGCTCACGGGCCGAGCCGCGGTGGGAACTTCCCGAACCGGGTCACGAACCCGTGTCCCCTGCATCGGCAGGCGGACTCTCAACCACTGCGCCACCAGGGAAGCCCCTAACTCTTTTTTTAAATTGAAGTATAGTTGATTTACAATATTGTGTTAGTTTCAGGTGTACAGCAAAGTGATTCAGTTTTATATATATATATATATATATATATATATATATGTATAGTAATAACCTATAATGGAAAATAACCTATAATGGAAAACAATCTTAATATTTATATATATTATATAATAATCTGAATATTTTTTGCACATATTTATATATATATTCAGATTATTTTCCATTATAGGTTATTACAAGATTCTGAATTATGACCAACACTTCAATCCATCTTTAATTTATTATTTTATATGGTATGAAGTAGGGGAAATTGAGCTCCTTTGAAGTGGATAGTCAGTTGTCTTTATATCATTTATTTAAATAATCCATTCTTTATCCACTGATTTGGAATGCCTCTTTTATCAACTAAATTCTTAAACATATGTCTATTTCTGGACTCTATTCTGACTCACTGATCAATTTGACCATTTCTATAAAAATGCCATTTTATTTTAATTTCTATAGCTTTTTGGTATGTCTTAACATCTGACAGAGCAAGTAACCTAGGCTGGTTTATTCCCCATGCCTCCTGACACTCCAAATTTCTTCGTGAATTTTAAACATTTCATCTTTCAGATGAATTGCAGAAACAACTTGCCAGTTGTCTTAAGAAAATTGTTCTGAGTTTATAGATTAATGTGGGGTTAAATGACATTTATTGTATTGAGTTTCTTCTTGACCATGAATATGGTATACTTCCTTATTCATCCAGGTCATCTTTTAGGTCATTCAGTAAAGTTTTAGTGTTTTCTTCATCCAGTCATGTACAATCCCTTGTTTGATTTATTTCTAGGTAGTCTACTGTTTTTGTTATTCTTGAGGATAGAAGTTTTTTTTTAAGTATTATATTTTCTAATTGGTCATTGTTATAGTATAATAAAAATACTGAATTGTGTAGGTGTGTATTTATACATATATGTATCAAAATATATTTTATATTTCTTATATTTAGCTTTCTTTTCTTCTGTTTACTACTTTATTAGTGTAATAGATTTTCAGTTGATTCCCCTTGAATTTCCTCTTGAATTATAAATGACCATCATGTCATCTACAAATAATGATAGGATTACCTCTTCCTTTCCAAAATGTATATCTTCAATTTCTTTTCTTTGCATGATTGCATTGGCTAGTGTCTCCTTTACCAGTGCTTCTTGAACTTTAATGTGCATGAAAATCACATAAGGATCCTGTTAAAGTGCTGCTTCTGATTTTACTGAGCTGCCAAGTGGTGTAGACCACATTTTGAGTGACCAAGTCCTCTACCCTGTTAAGTAGTAGTGATGATACTGGTCTCTGTGTCTTACTTATGACCTCAGTTAAGAATTCTAATTATCTGCCCATTTATGTAGATGAACAAATTTAAATATATTAAGGACCTTGCCCATGTGGCAAATGTCAGAGCAAGGCTCAGCCCTAAGTGAGCAAGTTCAAAGCCTTTGTTCTTAATATTTACTCTACACTAACTTTCTGTGATAAAAGAAAGATTAGTATATGTCTAACAGAGCCCGTTTTAAAATGCAGATCATGTATCTATCATCTACTTTAGAAAATTTTGCATCAAATTTTTAAATTAACTTTAACATTTAGTTACTTAGAACAGGGGTTGGTAAAAGATACCCCATGGCCCATATCTGACCCCTACCTGTTTTTGTATGGTCCTCCAGCTGAGAATGGTTTTTAAATTTTTAAATGATTGAAAAAATCAAAACAAAAATAATGTTTTGTGACAAACGAAAATATATGTATTCAAATGTTGGTATCCATAAATAAAGGTTTATTGGAATGAACCATGCTCATTTTTTTTACATATTGTTCATTGCTGCTTTCCTCCTACAGTGGCACAGTAAGTAGACTGGTTGTGACATAGTTGGTATAGGTTGCTCTTATCACTTTGTGGTGCTGATTAGGTGCACTACAAACCACACTGATGTACTTATGATTTGACTTTAAGTGCCATGCTGTATTGTGACATCTTTTATTATTATTTTTAAATTACCACTGCCTACTCATCATGTCCAAATAAGAAGAGAAATGTCAACTTCAAATGGCAAGTAGAGTGGTGTGTGGATGATTCTGTTATCAAATTAGATGGCAAAGCATTGTGCTTATTGTGGAATGATACTACAGCTATGCTAAAAAATATACTTAGGCGATACTAGATTTAAATACTAATCACAACTCGCAGGAAAGCAATTGGTCATAAAATCAAAGAATTTTAGATGGAATATCTCATCACAGCAGAATTTTTTTTCCTTTTTTTACAAAAATTAAAAGTGAAAATGAGGCTTCAACCAAAGCAAGTTTCTGACTGTCTCCTTTGCTTCCTAAGCAAGGAAAGCTATTTGCCGATGGTGAGTAAATTAAATTGTGTTTGACTGCAACAGTTGAAGAAATTGTCTAGACAAAATAAACTTGTTTAAGGCTTGGCTTTCCAGGGAGAACAGTTGCTTGAAGAGTTCAGAATATTGGGAGCAACATCAATAGTCAATTAAAAAACAAGGCAGGGACTTCCCTGGTGGTCCAGTGGTAAAGAATCAGCCTTCCATTGCAGGGGACACGGGTTTGATCCCTGGTCGGGGAACTAAGAGCCCACATGCCGTGGGGCAACTAAGCTCACATGCCGAAACTACAGAGCCCACACACCCTGTAGCCTGTGCACCACAGCTAGAGAGAAGCCTGCGCTGCAATGAAAGATCCTGCATACCTCAACTAAGACTCGACGCAGCCAAAAAAATAAAGACAACAAATAAATATTTAAAAAAAAAAACAACGCAAATGATTTTGGGTGGTTTTGCCTGGCTCTTGATGAATTGACATATGTTACTGATACTGCTCAGTTGTTACTTATTTAAAGAGTCAGTCCTGTCTTTGAAGATACTGAACAATTATCTTCTATGAACTGTCTGCATTATAAAAACTATAGGTGAGAATATTTTTGAAGAAATTGAGAGAACACTAATTCAGTACGACCTGAAGGAGAATCTTCTAAGATGTGTTCCAAATGATGGTGGTAAAAATATCGGTTTTTAAGCAGAAAAAAGGCTTAGTTATATAAATTTACAAAGCTTATGAACTTGTAAGGCATTTTAAACCTATGGATATTCATTGTATTATTCACAAGCCAGTGGTTTGTGGAAAATATTTAAATATACCATGTATAATTGAAACAGTGTTCATGGTGAGCTTCCTTTATTTTTGTAGACTTAACCATTATAAATTCTGTATTTGTCAGAATAGAATCTAAATCTGCTATTTCTATACTATATAGCAGATTAATTGCTGAGCAGTGGTAAATTTTTTGTGATTTTTTTTGAGGGCCAAGGTTGAAATTTTTGTAAATGGTATGTGCTACCATCAACTACTATCATTGGACATTGAATGGATTTGGAAATAAGCTTTTGTTGAAGAATTGATACTGCTTCTTAACAAATAAAACCTAAAATTACAAGGCAAATCAGCACTTAAAAGTAAAACTTATACTGTAGTCATTTCAACGACAATTAATGTTGTTTGAATCACATGTAATGTCAAGCTGCTTTATACACTTCTTGTGCTGTCAAAAGTTAAAAAAAGCAAGGCCTCCATTTCCACATAAGTATGCACCAGATATATTTTCTGAGTTCAAACTACAGTTCCAGCGGCATTTTTTTGGACCTTGATGCAAGTGCAAATGAAATTTCCATATTTCAAAATCTACTTAACTGTGCAATCGAGGAGCTTCCACCTCCCCTTCAATTGGAAGTAATTAATTTAATGACATGCTAAAAGGCAAATATCAGGAGACAAATCGGATAGAATTCTTTAAATGCCTTCCAAGCAATGAATGTGCTCAATTAAAATCATATGCTCATAGACAGATATTACTATTTGGCAGTACCTATCTGTATGAAAAGACATTTTCAAAAATGAAATATGTAAAACCTCATTATGAATCAGCATTAACAGATGGACATGGGCAACTGATTCTGATGACAGGAAACACTTAACTTTGAACCCCAATTAAGTGAAATGATATCCATCCTCCACAATAAAAGAATTCCCTTCTTCTCATTAGGAGACCTATATTACAGAAAATTGTATTCAGTTGTTATTATTAAATTTTCAGTTTAAAAAAAAAAGATTTGTGGAAATTTGTTCTTTCTCTTATTATGAAACTGCCTAAATAATATGCTTGATTTTGTCTCTTGGCCTGCAAAGACCAATATATTTACTCTCTAGCCCTTACAGAAAAATGTTGCCAATCCCTGACCTAGAATATTCTCTTATGTCTCTTGTCACAAGTGCCAAGTAAAGATAATTCTCAGAATCATCTTATAAGCTCATGTGTGTTGAGTGCTCACTATGTACAAAGCTTTTTCCTTGTGAGAGAGGCACTATTATTTCCAATTTATGGCATGGAGCCTTTCCTAACGTTGTATACGCTAATAACTGAATTAACCATGATTAAAACTTGGTGTTCCTGGCTGCAAAGCCTAGGCTGTGTGACCTTGGGGAAATTACTTAACGTCTCTAAACCTCAGTTTCCACATCTGTAAAATGAAGATTATAACTACAGTATCACCTATATCATAGGAATGATTTAAGTATTACATTAATATATGGAAAGCCCTTAGAATAGCTCTAGTGGAGAGAGCTATTCTTTTAGCATGTCATTAAATTAATTACTTCAGTCAGAAATGGACTGAAGGTCCAATAACAGGAAAAAGATCAATAAAATAGTTTATTCTTTAGAAGGAGCTGATGGAGAATAATTCCCAATTCAGCTGGCAATTAGAGCTTTTCACTTATAGAATCTGTGCTATTGGCAGAGGTTTGTCAAGAAAAAAACCCTAATATGTTATAAACATGCAAAAATTAAACATTACATTTAAATCTGACTAATGCAGATATACTAAAGTCGTTGAGAAAGCCAGTTGGGGTCATACCTGGCTTATTCTAACCTTTGCTACTTATTAGCTGTGTGACCTTGGCCAAGTCACTCAACCTCTTTGATCCTCAGTATTCTCCTTTGTAAAATGTAGATTATAAGTAGTTTACCATTCAGGAATGATGTGAGGATTTAAAAAAAAAATCATGCATCAAAGTACCTAATACAAGGCTTGGTATAAGAATGAACTCAGTAAATGCTAGTTCATTTCCCTTGGCCTTCCTAAACTGATCCAAAGCAAAACTAAACAACAAAATCAACCAAAGTGAAAAACTCCAAACAAAAAACCCCCATCTTATTGATTGGGTGTTGGAGGATTGGGAGATTATTGGGAAGGAAAAAAATGAAAGGACCCTGCTAGAGCTCCTAGATAAAATACAGGACATCCAGATACATTTGAATTTCAGCTAAACGCCATTTTTTTTCTTTTTCTTTCTTTTTTTTTTTTTTTAGTATAAGTATACCCCAAATATTGCATAGGGCATACTTACGCTAAATAAATTATTAACTGTTTATCTAAAATTCAAATGTAACTGGGTGCCAGGTATTTTTATTTACTAAATCTGGCAGCCTAGACACGACAGAATTTAGTAAGAAACCTCTTGCCCTGCACAGCCAACCACCCCCAGAATTCAAAAGAGCCGACTGTGTTTCCAAGTCTCTAACTGCAAAAGCTTCAAGGAAAATGTTGACCCCACCCTCTCTGTCTGTGCCAAGCAAAGGGCCCAGACGGGAACCCCCATGTGACCGATTCTGCCTCCTGCGCGCGGCTCCGTGGGAGCTGGAGCAGAGGCTGCTGGGAAAACCGTGGCAGCCGGCCCACTGTCCCCTTGGGTCCCTCTGCCCCAGGCTATCCTTCGGGCGGGGCCCTGCGGTTACAGTGCGGTGACTCTTTGTCACTGCACCCCTGCCACGCCCCGCTTAGTCCACCTGGCGGTGGGGGCGGGGTGAGGGAGAGAGAAAACAGGTTGGAGGAGGAAAGAAAAGGCTTATCAATTTAACATTTTTCTTCGCTGGGTTGTGCTTTGCTGTTCTGGTCTGCAAAACTTTAATTATTACTTTGATGCAGGGTGGCTGCCGATTGCCAGGCCTGATTTAGTAGCCTGCTTGCACAAAGTCCGACAGAGATTGCTTTTGTTGCACTTTCGAACAGCTCGTGAAGGTGGCTCTTTTACGTTGAGGAGGAAACTCTGTGGTTAAACTGTAGCCTAGGTATTTTTAGAGCCGTTACCATGTTAACCGAATTTCGTACATTTCACCTGCAGGATATGCAGTAGCGCTTAGGGCCTTCCTTAAACTCTAACAAAAAATATGATTTAACAGTTATTAATGCTGTGCTTAGGACCAACTACATGGTATTAGAA